GAATACATCTGATGCGGTCCTTCCAGTGGGAATACATATGATGCTGTCCAAAGGGAATACATCTGATTTTTCCAAAGGGAATACATCTGATGCTGTCCAAAGGAATATACACCTGATACAATCAAAACCAGACAGATTTGATGGGGTGGCTTTGCTTTATTTATGTTTTGCTTGCATGATTTCCAGAAAGTGTGTCTTAATTTCTCTGCCCAATGATATTCTGATATAAATTTGACTGAAAATATTACTCTTGCATTCGTTATTACCTTTAATTATTTATATTCATGTGTGTTATGTAATAGTATTATTTGTAAAGGGAGCATAGGCCCTCAACTAATTTGTGCTGTTGACTTATCGCTAGCGGCTGGCTAAGCAATTAGAATGGCAGGCTCTCAGGCAGGAGACCTGAGTTCGACCCTTGGTAAGGTGACAAACGTATTTATGTTGGGGGCAGAAATAAACATCCCTTACCTGCACGGGCTGTGGTGTTGGCATTAGCCATGCTATCCTAAATCCTTGGACTTATGACCTCTTGTCTGCCACTGAAGGAGACAGAGCATGTGTGAGAATATGAGTGCAGTAATGTCTTTTTTAGACTCTTTCATTCTTTTTGTTGTTGACCGGCTGTAAGCTCTGACAGAAAGTCCTGATTGTTCGTCCATTTGGACTTTTGCTTTATGGCAGGGCCTAAGTTTTGTATGCACATCCGTTTTACTGGCTTATTTGTGTGCAGCTGGTTGTTCCTTTTTGACAGATGCACTCCTACTTTCAAAGGAAGCCCCCAATTAGTCAACTCCTATGACATGCTTGTTGGGAAGGCAGTGGGTCTGTTATCATTTTCCCTACATTGGGGCCCCGGACCTCACACAGGGAGGATTCATTCATTCATTTTGAAAGACAAATTACAGACAGGAAGATCCACATCAAGTGCCAAACAAGACTCGTTGGTTTATTTTTATTATCCTTCTCAACTCACCAAACATTTATGAATTGCTAAATCAGATTTGATGACTGAAAATCTTAAATCTTATGTTGCGTCATTTCCTGTAGGCATTAATATCCTAACTTTCACAACTAGGGGAGCTTTGGTAGCAGGTTAACTAGACACCTCGCATGATTATGGGTTCAGTTTTGTATTTAGTAACGGACCCTTTTCCATGCCATTAGGCGTTTTGGGCTTATAGTAAAAGAACCTTTTTCCATGCCCTGAGGCATATTGGGCATATAGGGCTAGACCTATATTTTATAGATAATCGACACTCAGTGGGTGATGTGGTCAGCATCATGTCAGCCACCTTTACTTCCCATGACATCCCCTGATACCCATTTTAGGCTGGGTCGATCTGGGAGCCAAGGTAATTTTTGAAAATATGGAGGCTCCGCATTTACACAGATTTTACAAATTAAACTAGGTTCCCAGACAGATCTAGTATACAACTGGTTTTATTTTATCTTCTGCTTTTTATATTATTCATCTTGTTTTGCATTCGCCATTAAAAAAACTGCGGGCCTATTGTGTTGTGGTTTACAGCTAGGCTGCGACATCTGCATATTTTGGCCCAACAATTTAATTTTAGCAAGCCTAATTGGTTGCCTTTCACGACATGCTTGGTGGGTTGGGCCTATTCCATCAAAATGGGATCCCAGGACCCAGCTGGAGATATATTTACTCCGAAAGTGTAGACAGTCGATGTGATGTTGTCTACATCACCTATTGAAAAACAAATCTTGTATACAAAAATATGAGTCCAGCATCGATGCCCGATGTCCTGTGAGGTGCAATAAAGTTGTTTACTTCCATTTTTATTTAAACAGGGCACAGAATAATGTAGATAGAAAATCTCCCATTATTTGTTTTCTGTGCTTTTTATTGTTTGTCTGTATAGCTGTATATAGATGTTAATGGCAGGTCCAGTGTGAAGGCAACGGCTTGAATCATTTCAGAAGTCCACTGTGCGCAGAATCACCTTTATTTTTGTTCCATGAGACACAGGCGTTGATGAAAATGAAAGAGCTGGTAGGTTGGCTGGATCCACTATCACTACCGATTGTCAACAAATTGATCATGCTGATATTTTTAATGCCCTCCAAGAAATGGGAAGGGTGGAGGACTTTGGGGGCAGTGAATCCACATCACTCGCCGAAATGATAGACCTGGGAGTTAAGATCAGCATAGCAATAAACAACACGCACACGAGGCACCTCAGTGGACTTGATAATCAACATAGAACTGGTACTATTAGCCACTGGACACTGGAGTTCATACTGAGGAAAGGATCTGAGCACCTATAAACATGTCCGGACTGCAATGATAACCCAGATAAGTAACTAAAATAGCTGAAAAATCAAAATCTGAGCATCAATTTATCGAAATTAAAGAGTTCACTTTCAGGATCCTACAATTCCTGTGTGGGTTCTGGGTCACATTGTGTGTGTGTGGGGGAGGGGGGGTGTAGCAAGAATAGACCTAGTACCTTCCCAACAAGCATGTCTTAGGAACCGATGAACTGGGGAACATCCTTCAAAGTCAGAATATATCTGCCTGAGAGGCAAGGAACCAAGAGTCTGCATACAAATAAGCCAGATCTGTGAAACAGATGTGCGTGCAACACTCAGGTTCTGGAACAAGACCAAAGTCCGGAGGTGGATGAAAACTCAAAACTTTTTGCCGGAATTTACTGCTGGTGAATGCAAAAAGGGGTGGGGGGGGGGGGATAGTTATTCTAGAAGATTCACAACCAGCCAGTCTGATCTGCATCATAATCAAGACATTCAAATCCACCACAATAGCAGACTAAATTGGTAAAGCAGGTACAACAATAGTCTTCAGATCATCCGATAATCCTTGAAACGAATGCAAAGTGGTCTGCTGACAAATTACCCTGCAGCTACAATCAAACCAGGTATCTTAGAATTCTTCTTAAAGTCAATGCAATGTGTCATTTGTAGTCACGTCTATCCACGACCTTCAGTCTCATGTACTTTCAATCAATTCTGACACAGATGAGCCTCCATTTCCATGGTGTCAGACTATCCAGCATCTATTCTCTTGCTCTGCCTCTCCCCCACGCCCAACTTTCCCTATTGTTACGATGTACTCCAGTTTTCTCCTTCTCATCACATGACCAACAAATTTAGATTATCTTAGAATCACAAACTCTTGTCTTAGAGATAAACTCTATAATTTTCAGGGTGCTGCTAAGCTCCTGGTCAAAATTGACGATGGGCGCGGTCACTGCTGTTAGTGGCAAATTTGCATTTTCCTCTATTTGTAGACTGAAAATGTATAGTTTTGTCGACCAGCTACTGAGCTAAGTGCATGACACAACACTGTGAGCTGCAGATTTCATTTGGAATGTTTTTTCGACTGTGACCGACGTGGTGTTGGGAACTGTATATTCAGAAAATGGTGCATGGCCTTTTGCCACAGAACTGGTCGTGCCTTATGTGCTTAATACTAATTGCACATGCAACTGCTGATCTGTTTGTGACTGCTGCTTCCGTCGAGAAGAACTGCATTTCTAATGTCAGACTATTTGTATTAGCACTTCTGGTGGCTGCCTTACACTTTTAATGCGTGTGTATACTAGTGGATATGCTGAAACTGCAGTCTATGTCAGTTTTCCCACAAGGGGCAGTGATGGACATTCTTCGAGTTTTTCTTAAGCACAGGGTCGGAGCAACTATGGGGTGACCTGTTTATATGAGGCTGAAGCTAAGATTACCAGATTGTTCAAAATTTCTTCTTTTTCTGCACGTTCACCTGCTGTAAACTCCAGCAGAAAGTTCTGGTTGGTTGTTCTTTCACTTCTGGACTTTAGTCCTGTTCTAGAAACTGAGTGTTGCGTGCACATCCATTTCAAAGGTCTGATTCATTTACCTCTCAGGCAGATGTACTCCGACTTCAAAAAAGCTCCCAATTAGTCAACTCTTACAACATGCTCTTGGGCAGGCAGTGGGTCTGTTCTTGTTTACCCCCCCCCCCCCCCACCCTCCCCACAATGGCGCCCTGGAACCACACGGGGAGCTTATAATATAAGGCCTATCCCAAATGTCAGTCCTAGTAAAGCTTGTCAGCTATATACTGAATTAGAATATAATTAGTATATAAAGAAATTATACTTTATAATCGTCTTTTTCTTCAGCGTTCCGACCCCTTGAGGTTCATTGCTGCAGATATCACCCCCATTCATCTTTCTAGTTGGCCTTCTATTTCCATTTGGTGACACCAAGTGTTTGCAGGTCTCTCTGGATATTATTTCTCCATCTTCTTCTGTGTCTGCTTCGTGGTCTACGACCATTCACCTCCCTTGTGCATACAGTTTTTACTTCTGTCATCTGACATTCTTTCAATATGCCTCAACCATTTCAGTCTATTAGCTCTTCATGATGCCAATGATCAGTGGTGATTTAAACAGATTATGAATTTCGTTATTGCTTCGCACTCTCCTTCTCCGCAGTTTGCATCTTTGGCACTAATTGTATTGTAAAATTTGTAAAAGTACTGGCACTTATATTTTATGTAAATGATAATATAATATATAATTAAGTATTTGTAAATGCCAAGTGGATGCCTTTGAGCGAGAGGTAAAAACCTAAGTATAAATACAGCAAAACTTGGTAGCACTTGACCGACTGACTTTCTACCCCACCAGGACATCACACAAGCGATAAACACCTGATGACACAATGTGCCACCATGTGGGTGAGGATCACTGTGGAGAGGTCCCAGAAACAGCGTTCAGCCTTTAGGCCATATTTATGGCCAGGCTATATTGCGACCTCTGGCAAAAGCCAGAGTAGGGCTTTAAATAACGAAAAATTTCATCCTAAAAAGGACGAGGAGTTTAAAATACATTTTTGGTAGCACTTATAAAATAGGCCGTTTTTGTTTAGAGTGTCTAGACATCCGAATGAAAAATAAGCCTTGGGGCATCATTCGGAGCAAAACCAAGGTAAGAGCTGATCTTATTTTTGGGAAAACGCAGTACTAAAAGCAATCAATCCACAGAATCCAACACACAATCCGTCAGACCATTTGTGTTAGCAATGTGATCTAGACTTTGAAGATACACACGCATGTTTTCCATGAAACACGGGATGCGAGTATCGGTCAACTTTGCAATGTTTGTGATACTAGGACGGTCAAGATCTTCAAAGGATACCTTGCCCAGGCGAATAAGTTGTTGAAAATCTAAGACCTTTCGCCTTTTTAACAGCTGTAGTGCTCCTTCTAGATAAACTTGGTCTTTAGAAAAGCAGCCTGCAAAATAACAATTTGTCATCTTTATGATTTAAAGATCAAGATAACTTCTTTTTGGTTGACTTGAAATAGATTATCTATATCCGCAATTATGTCTCTAGTATGAACTTCACTGTCTGTTATAATTCAATCAGCGACCCGTACAGTTTGGCTCGCACCGGTGTTTCTCGTAGCCAAAAGATTTGCCTTTATATGTTGTACCTGGGAACCTCTTGGAGGACGTGATCTGTTGTGTCAGATCAAGTTATGATAATCTACATCAATTTATTTTAAGTTTTTATTTTTAAACTGTTAAATCCGCATGGTTTAGTGCTAGACGCTCGCATGCGGATCAGAAGGTGTTCAGGTTTTGACGAACCCGGAGTTAAAAAAAAAAAAAAAAGTGATCTTGACTCTGTTGTGTGCGAAATCACTCTGGGCTATAACAAGTTTTTGAAGCCAGGGCTTTGTGAAGCATGAGTGTATTCATGTTGTGTTGGCGGGTTGGGAATATGGTACAACTAACGATTGCAAGCCCTGGCACACCCCGATTGGCCGTTCATTCATGCTTTCTGACCTTTCACACGCATGAATCTCAGTTACAGGGTTGTCAGGTTGTATTGTCTCCAATGCTCTCACCGGCGATGTAACAGCTTTAAGTGACCCCAGAATATCTAGTACTGGCCCTAACCCTACCCACCCCGCAGGCTCAGCCTACGTCCCATGAGACTGCACCCTACGTGCCGTAGTCTCAGAAGTGTTAACATTTTGCGGTAGCGCCATCAGGTGGTTCTTCGAAAAGCGTCTGCTTGACAGTAGGATGCCATGTTGCTGCAGAAAAGTAACGCTCCTCTCCTTGTCGGCCATCAACGCTGACAACTTAAGTAAATTCATTTCGTACTTGAAGTCTGAGAACGCCAGAATATATGCAATCGTTGAAAACTGCGAGTAAAACACAACATGTACCTCTGCTCCGCTGACATATACATAGCAGAAAACAACATGACTTCCCGGTAACTCAGACTAACGTGTCTCAAAGGTTAGGATGCATGACTGAACATCCAGTCATGGCCTGACTGGGCCCGACATCGTTACTTGGACCAGGAATGTAAACATTTGGGGTTAATGGAAGAGAGATGAGCATGAACCACTAAGGAGTCGCTTGAAGTTCATGACAAACTTGCAGACATCACAGAGTAAAGGTGGCTGGCGTGATGTTGACCGCATCACCCACTGAGTTCTTGACTGGTCTATAAAATATACATCTGGCCCTATATACCCACATACACCCGAAGGAGTGGATAAGTTTCCTTTCCTTTCACCTTTACTTCAAAATTGCAAGCACAAAAAGAATTCACAGGGAATAGATCATGAAGCAGATGAAGAAGATGGTGGAGAGATAATATCTAGGCAGACCTACAAACACTTGGTGTCACCAAGTGGCAACAGAAGGCCAGTCACAGAGATGGAATCGGGTGATGTTTGCAGCAATAAACCTCTAGAGCCCACAATGTTGAAGAAGACGTTTGGCATCAAACAGTATGGATAGGGATTCACTGTACATAACTGTAGACTAAACAATTCGACTGTATTTTGCAGCTATTTTTTTTTTATGTGGGATTATGTAGTCTTGCACCAATCCATGTTAGCTACTTCTTACAACACATATGACAGATTAGCGTTACCGGGGTTATTTACACAGCACCAGCACCTTTTTTTAAGGCAGATTTTTTCAGCACTCTTGTTGTAGACATTTTCTGGCGATGACTGCCTCATAGTTATAGCATGTTGATCTGTAATCTTCATTTTCTTGTCATTCATTTTCATAAATTATAGAGCTGTAGTGGCGAGTTAATGTGCACAAGGGACCAGTGATCATGTTGTCCACACTAAAGCAGGCATTGGAAAGGATTCACATAGGCTTCCAGGTTAACTATGCCTAAAACGGGTACCTCAAAAAGTGCTGTAAAGTAAAGGTAACCAGCGTGGTACTGTCAACACCACCTATCAGGTAAATCCGACAATAAAAAATATGGAATCAACAAAGGACCTTGTGTGTTGGGGGTCGATAGTCAGGAACGGGATGGGAATAAAGAAAAAACTGATTGCAGAAAAGTTGTGAGCTGAGTGTCTGAGATAATAGGGTCAGAGGGAATGAGCGAGCGAGTTGGCTTGCTGGCAGGGCCATGGTAGGCGCATGAAAGCAATGGACCCGGCCGACATTTTCAATGCTCTTAAGAAGGCAGGATGAGAAACATGCTTCAGGAGACGACGTTGAAGCGGCAACACTCAGAAGACTACAAGAACTTCAGGAGGAGGGCAAAGAAGAACCTGGAATGACAACATCAAGAAACGGACAGGACTAAGTTATCATACACTTATTCATCAAGCAGGAAGACACAGAAAGATGGCAGGTTTTATGTTCTAGTGCTTCCATCAATACACCTCCACGACCCTAATGGGTCAAGGGTTATGTTATGTTATGTAAAAACTTCAGGTCAAAAGAGGTGTCGTCAAACGTGAACACTATACGGGTAGCCAAAAAAGAATAGGAAGCCAATACAGAGCTGGTGTTGTCAGTCGCCACACTCTGAGAGATATGATGAAAATGGGATCCGAGCGCTTATGGACTAACTAACATACTAAATACACCTGACTGTGCTGAAATACCATGCTCTAATTGTAGTAGACTTGTCTTAATATATTTCTTGCTAGTCACACTCACCATCGCCATGGGCTGTGGTTCCCATGCCTCCTCGCAGCACAGTATAACACTATTATCTGGAATTACAGAAAGTTGCCATATATATGCCTCAAGAAATGGAAATGGATAATTTACTTACTTCCTCTAAGACAAAACTTATGTTGAATATGTGTTTGAGAAAGTGTATATATATTTACCTGGCCGGCATGTCCACTCCTCGCCTCTTTTGGCTCTGAGACAGTACTCCCACCTGACGTTAGGACTTCTAACAAACTTGCCCAGGTCATGGAAGAGTTCTTTGAATGACATCTTGGAAGCCATGTAAGTTGTGTAGTACAGCAGTGCAGCGCGCCATAGATATGGCTCAGTTCTGCAGAATCACAAAAATAATAAGAAGAAAACTCCACAGGGAAGCATACACAGCAGGAGTCTAGAAGTCATCAGTAGAAGAACCTCCGCCGACAATTGTTACAGCCCGTTACCATCCTAAACAATCTCGGAAGGTCATGACGCCAGGCCCCAGTAAATCTCCTGCTGCGCACAAAAGTATAGCAGTCATCTTTACACAGGAATCGTCATGATAGATACATTCACAAAATAAGATTTAACTGAAAGAGGTGCCCGGCTCTCTAGCGTAGTTGGCTAAACCTGACTTCGCAGTGACCGGGTGACAAACTCCTTGTGGTCCGGGTTAACTCCCGGGGGGGGGGGGGAGACAGAAAAGCCACATTTACCCCCCCCCCCCCCCCCCAGATGTACGATACCTATCATAGATTCAAGGCCGAAGGGATGCAATATCCATAGCACCGAGCCAAAGGGTTGCGATATCCATAGTACCGAGCCAAAGGGTTGCGATAACCATAGTACCGAGCCAAAGGGTTGCGATATCCATAGTACCGAGCCAAAGGGTTGCGAAATCCATAGTACCGAGCCTAAGGGTTGCAATATCCATAGTACTGAGTCAAATGGTTGCGATATCCATAGCACCGAGCCAAAGGGTTGTGATACTCATAGTGCCGAGCCAAAGGGTTGTGATATCCATAGTACCGAGCCAAAGATAATTTTGCTTTGTAATACATTCCATTATTCTTCTTAGCAGTGACCAGCTTGAAACTCCGGCAGAAACTTCTAGATCAGTGGCTCTCAACCTTCCTAATGCTGCAACCATTTAATACAGTTTCCTTATGTGGTTGCGACACCAAGACAATTATTTTCCTTTATAACTTCAATGAATGTGTGTTTCTCATGGTCTTCGGCGATCCCTGTGAAAGGGCGTTTAAAACCCCCTCCCCCCAAAAAAGGGTCGCGGCTGGCAGGTTGAGAACCGCTGTTCTAGATGTTCGTCCACTTCTGTACTTAGTCTTGCTCCACATCTTGATTTTTGCCTTCACATTCATTTTACAGATCTGGCTTATTTATATGCAGACTGTTGGTTCCTCGCCTCTCAGGCAGATGCACTAAGACTTTGAAGGACACTTCTTAGAGTTCACTGACTGTAAACTCGAGTGAAGGGTTCTGGTTGCTTGTCCACTTCTGGACTTTGATCTTGTTCCAGAACGTGAGATTTACATGCACATAAATTTTACATTCCAGACTTATTTATATGCAGGCTGTTGGTTCCGAGCCTCTCATGCACTACGATTTTGAAAGAAACATCTCTAATTAGTCACATTTGGTACATGCTTGTTAAGGAGGCAGTACATCTCCCCCTCAAAAAAGCTATGGAACCCCCATGAGAATATGTTACATTAATTTTGAGAATGTTATCAACATCATACTGTTCAGTAAGCAATGGCATACTTCTGCCTTTTTACCATCCCTCCACCTTCAATGGACCACGAGCCCTAAACCAACTCATATCAAACCAACTAATTTTTCGCTACCATATGCAGCTCGCCAAATGTCCCACCACTTTCCATATCACTCTCTAATTCCTGTCTCTGTGTGTTTTTCATTAAACCTTTATTCCTTAGAGCTGCGGGTTTCAGTGCAAGGATGTTCGAGTTATATGGCAAACTAATGAATGTGAAAATGTCATGTAAAACCATACAACCAATAAATACTGCGGTTAGCTTGCGACATTTTGAAATGGATATGCAACTAACTTTTTTTGAAAAAGAAATTAAATATCATCTGATATGTTACAATATTCAACTACTATATATATATATATATATAACTCCCAACAAACTTCAGAGCAGAGCTGCAAGCGATTATTGATTCAGCCAAAGTGCTTGAGAAAAGAAAAACAAACAACAGCAACATTGTTTTCCTTTATGACTGCATGTAAGTCCTCCAGGCGACTCAGATCCACGAGACAACATGAAAAGAGAACTGACCCGCCAGCTAAGCGGACTCACAGAAAACAATCAGATCATTCTCCAGTGGATCCGGGCTCACTGCCGCATACCAGGAAATGCGTTAGCAGACAGACTTGCTAAAAATTGAACAAAGAGGAAACAACACACCCATCTATTGTCGTTCCAGAAATCAGAACACATATCAAGAAAAAAATATAAGGAATTGTGGAGAGAACAAACTAAAAGTAAACATCCATAAGACCCCATCAGCAGACTCAACAGAAAGCAACACACAACAATTTTTGTATCTACGAACAGGACACTGCAGGCTCAACTACCACATGCATAAAATAAAGATTGTACAGCCCTCACTAATTCTAAATTACATACAAAGACAGCCAGTGAAATGGTTTGCCCACTTAGAGAGAATGCCTTGTGACACCATACCATACAAAGCATACATGCAAAGAGAAGAAGGACGTAGAGCACGAGGTAGACCAAGAACAACATGGAAGGATAACATCAGAGAAACTCTACAACAGCACGATGTGCCTATGGTTGAGGCGACCAGAAGAGCTAGAAACAGAACCTTATATCTCCCTCGACACCCACAGCGGTAAAAGAGGAAGTGAAGAAGAAGAAGAAGTACAGCCCTCACAGTGTGCCTGTCAAACAGGATCACAAACACCTGAGCACATTTCGCAGACCTACCCACTCTACCTACAACTTCAAAAATACACCTGGCCTCAAAAGCAAAGTGTGCAGAGAAAGCTATGGGGAACCATGAAGGACCTGCTGCTGACATGTGAGTGAAGAAGATATCATGGGTTGTTTTGGACTGAGAGGAGCTAAGAATGATTGAATAGTGGTGCCTAATACAAGTATCAAAAACGTTGTAATACTTTGTACAATACACATTTTTCACCTAAACAACACGCTATGCAGTGATGCAAGTCCCTCTTCCGTTGGGTTCACTGGACCCATGTTCAGCTCCTTCCTGACACTGCTCTTGCCCCAAGGCTGGCAGCTATTGTTTCTGCTCCGAATATAATGAGTACCTGTTTCCCATTTTAAAAAAAAAAAGGTAAATTTGTTTTTAAACTGCATCAAAGTTATGTCATTTGTAACATTTCTCAATGGGAGAAAAGTATTATTTTTCAAAATTAAAATGTGCCATGTGAAAAGTCTGAATGGTCCCAGCTGACCATCTCACATAATCATTTAAATTATGTGAAACAGCTCTGTGTCTGAAGCCCAGTTTATCATTATTGTGTATCATTTTTTTACCATAAACATCTTCTGTTTTGCTTTTGTGGGAGATTGTATTTCTAAGAGCTATGCCGGCGCTAGCGTAGCTACCAGCAGGGCATCCCAAGCTAAACAGGTTTGTGGAAGTTGAACAAGGTGTCTGAGATATCGCAGCATAGCTGTAAACTATAATGTGCCAACCGCCATTTTAGCTCTGTGTCCCAAACAACACATGATGCGTGAACCACTCTGTCTACTGAATTCCCTTCCCTAGCTTAATATGTTCTCTCTCTCTCTTGTTGTTGCTGTGGTTGGTCAAAACACATTAAAGAAATCTGGCTCATCTAATGGTCACTACTTTTGTTATATTACTGTTTTGAAGAAAAAAAAGGCATTGATGAATTTCAAAAAACGATCTTTTACTAAACATTCTTCTGATAATAACGGAGTTAAGTGAAAGCAAAGAAAGAAAGAAAAAAGAAAGAAAGAAATTCCGGAATTTCAAATCTGTTCTCTAATTTCTAAACTAACCTATCTCATGCCTGAGCAAGCCTTCCGCCCAGTTCTGCCTCATGTTGGCACAGCGCACATTTAAGATGGTTTCTCCTTTAACTCTGGTTAACGATCCATGACTGATTAAATCATCACACAGATTGACGTGAATTTGTTCAGTCAGTTTATCAGCTATCAGATACCTGCAAGATACATGTGCCTGTATGATATGTGTATGTACATATATACTTAAGGAAAGAAAAGAACCTTTCATCACGCTTTCAGGCTTAATAGGCACATAGGGCTAGACCTAAATTTTATAGACCAATCGGTACTCGGTGGGTGATGTGGACCACATCAAGCCGGTCACATTTACTTCCGAGGACTTTACCTGGTACCGATTTAGGCTGGATCGATGTGGGAACTATGGACGTTTTGAAAAAAAAATTTTAAAAATCTATATATATATAAATAGTAAAAGTAGGTTAAGTAAAGGAAAGTTTCCCATGCCTCTCAGGTGTATTGGATAGACCTTTCGCAGGTGGACGTTTAGCCGCCAACGCCACGGTGACTCCCATTGATATAAATAGTCAGTAAAATAAATGATTCTTTTCAATTCTGAAAAAAAAAAATGATTCTTCTCATCCAGTCCATATAAAGCACATGATAAGTAAATCAAAGTAAAGTATCCTCTCCCATGGGTTCCGATCTAGTGGGCATATAAGGCTACACCTATATTTTATAGACCAATCAGCTAGCGTAGTTGGTTAAACCTGACTTTCGCGGTGACCGGGTGATGAACTCCTTGTGGTCCGGGTTCACTCCCGGGGGTAGGCAGAAAAGCCACATTTCTCCCAGATTAACGGTACCTATAATGGAATCAAGACCGAAGGGTTGCGATATCCATAGTACCGAGTCAAAGGGTTAAGAACTCATGGTTTCTGGATACTAAAAAAAAAAAATAGACCAATCAACACTCGGTGGGTGATGTGGTCAGCATCACGCCGGTCACCTTTACTTCCCAGGACTGCACCTGATATCCATTCAAGCCTGGGTCAGCCTTTGAGCAAAGGTCAAATTTGAAAACAAATCCGGCTCCATCAGGACCCGAACCCCCTTCCTTCAGATCCGCAGGTGGGCATCTAGCCGCCAATGCCACAGCAACTATGTATATAGTTAGTAAAATAAATGATCCTTTTCATCCAGTGACATATTAAGCATAGAAGTAAAGCAAAGTAAGGGATCCTCTTCCACGGGTTCAGATATAGTGGGCATATGAGGATAGACCTATATTTTATAGACTAATCAGCACTTGGTAGGTGATGTAGTCAGCATCACGCCGGCCGCCTTTACTTCCCAGGACTCACCTGGTACCCACTCAAGGCTGGGTCAACCTGAAAGCAAAAGTCATAGTTGAAAATAAATCCGGCTCCATCAGGACCCACGTTCTCACCATCCGCAGGCAAGCTTCTGCACCACGCCGACTCTTGAGCATAGGACGCTAAACTAATATTTGTGTACACCAAATGGTGCTCTAGATGCGCGCCGGGGATCGGAAGGTCATGGGTTCGCTCCCCGGCGGAGCCGGACTTTTCTTTAAAAAATGACCTTGGCTCCCAGGTCGACCCAGCCTTGAGTGGGTACCGGGTGCAGTCCCGGGAAGTAGAGGCGGCCAGCGTGATGCTGACCACATCACCCATCTTGTGCCGTTGGTCTATAAAAATATAGGTCTAGCCCTATATGCCCTATACGCCTAAGGGCGTGAAAAAGGGTCCTTTACTTTTTACTTTACAAATGGTGCTCGATAAGTGATTCTGACTCACTTTAGGTCAGCTTGACCTGGGAGCGAAAGTAATTTTTTTTTAAAGTGTGGCTCGATGTGGATTCGAGTTCAAGGCAGGCAGGCAACTGGTATGCCTCTGCCGCTCCCACGTACACATAGCCCAGAAACAATGTATACACATGTCAAAAAAAAAAAGCGAAGCCTAAAAAACATTATAATATTAACTGTTTCAGAACTTATTCTCTCCAAATGTTTCCCACGAATCTACATCTGTATCACTCATGTCCCACTTGCAGACTTCTTTATACTTTAGCAGAGCTTGACCTCGACATTGACCCATCTGCGATTCATCGTAACTCCTTGAATATGAAAGTACACGAGGCGGGAGAGATAGCAAGAGGCTGAGTTTTTTTCATGCAGACCGTGATGAGAAGCAATATTGTGTTTTTTTTTTTTAATTTGGCTAAAATATTTCACTTGTCTTTCCAGAACCTTTGTATATGTTTTTGTTTCCATAAAATACGACCCTACTTTTCTGTAAATCCATATTTTCAGAGTCTTAGTTATATTTTCTAATCGCCTGTTCGATGTCCAAGTTTCTGCAAAATACAGCAGGTGTTGAGTATACATAACATTTGATGATTCACATTTTGAATGTGTTATGGTGTCCACCTCGAGTGCTAGAGGTCCCGGGTTCAGTTTTTTTCTGTCACGTGGGCTTCTAGTAATTTCCCTTGGTCTCTGAATAGTGAAATAGGTCACCCGTGTGTATTGTTGCGCACGTAAAAATTCCTTTGGCAGTTGGAAATCGAAAAGAGTAGCCTTACGGCGCTGCCCCGGCAAAATTTGGAGTTAAAAATCTACCTAAAAAGTATTTCAGGATCCTCGCCAGGGCAACAGAGTTCGTGCACTGCGCTGAGATTCTTCGAGCACTTATGGGTTACTACCCGTGTGCCGTGATGTTGATCCATTGTTTAAACTTCAAACTTCATAGCATACATAAACAAAGAATAATAAAACAAGAGATAAAGAAGGTTTGGTCGGTTTAAATCTGGACACGATGAGGATTGGCTGATTGATTAGGTCAGTTTAAAAACAGCCTTATATTATCCCACATACCTTTGTACGACACTAAGAATTTGATCCTTTGTCAGCGAACGGCCACCACTAATTTCTTCATAATTTTCGTAACTTCCAAACTGAGCAATAACTCTCTTCAAAATAAGAACAGCCTGATGAGGTAGAGAAAATCATGTATCGTTCACGCAGCTCTAGACTTTTATAAATGTTGATTTTAGTTTCATGAACTGGAAAGTGAGTGCTTTCTGCTTTTAGATCTGTCAGCAATTAACTTTTCCTCTGATTCCTTCTTATTCTTTTTGCCCTTTTCTTCTTCTTTTATTTTTCTTTATAATCTTCTTCTTCTTCTTTTTCATGCTCCTGCTGATGAGCTTGTCAAGTCCTTCACGCATATCTTTTTCTTTCTTCGGATTACTTGCCTGCCCATTTGGAGCAAAGCATGCTGCAAGAGCTGCCAGATCAGAAGAGTTGTGCCCTGTCTGTCCGCCTGTCACACCTTCCATTCTAGACCACCTGCCAGCCAAGGCTAAGGGCCTTTACCTCTCCATCCCTCCAGTCTTTTCGTTGTCATTACGTATTCCAGTTTTGCACTTCTCTCTATATGTGATTGTAATGTGGATTGTCTGCTCCTGATGCAGAGGGGGGCTGCATGGTCTCGAGGCATAGTGTCCGCCTGGAGTGCTATAGGTTCCGGGTTCAATCCCCGGTAAGAGTTGGGATTTTTTTCACGTGGACTTTCAGGATCATCACCGGTGCTACAGAGCCTGTGCACTGTGCTTAGCTTCTTGAGACTCAGACTTGAGTTAGAAGAAAAACGGCTACAGAGCCTGTGCACTGTACTTAGCTTCTTCGGACTCGGACTTGAGTTAGAAGAAAAACGGCTACAGAGCCTGTGCACTGTGCTTAGCTTCTTCGGACTCTGACTTGAAGTTAGAAGAAGAGCGGAGCACTTATGCCATGTGCCATGATGTTGATCCGTTGTTCAAAATCCTCAATCCACCTGATGCAGGTAATTAGTATTTTGTGTGTGTGTGTGTTTTTTTTTTACATTAATTTATTTTTCTAACACCTTTTATCTGTTCACTGTCTCACCATGCTTCTATAAGATTGCAGATTAGGGAATCATGATCACCCACGCCTGTCGGCAAGACTCTTCTAAACAACCCCATGTGGGTTCTGGGGCCTCATTGTGAGAGAAAACAAGAATAGACCCACTGCCTCCCCCCAAACGCATGTCGTAAGAGTCAACTAATTGGGAGCCTTCTCAAGGGATCAACAGTCTGTATGCAAAATGAGTCAGAGCTGTGAAACAGATGTGCACGCAACCATCAGGTTCTAGAACCACGCTAAAGTCCAGTAGTGGACCATCGCGGTCTGAAGAGAATGGTGCAAAGGGAAATGACCAGGGGATCTGGATGAAACTCCACACTCAGAGGAAAGGCCAGATGGACATACAGTCAGACTGTTACTGGTATCATACTGGAATTCTTCGCTGGCTGCTGAAAAGGGGGACAGAGCGTTTATGGAAATGACCAAAGTACTGTCGTGTCAGTTCTTGAAACTAAGCTCAGCGTATCCTGTAGTTTGCCATTGCTCTCCAAATGGCAAGCTCTCCATATCATTGTCAAAAACAGTGCAAAGCGGTCTGATAACAAATCGCATGCAGCTGAATCGAGTCGGGTATTTCAGAAATATAAATCCACAGACGCTGATAATCTCATAAGTTAATCGACGACAGTCAGCAGATTAGTGAGACATCATGTCAAAGCTACAGAAATATTGCTGTATAGATTAATCTTCTTCTTCTTGTTCACCGGCTGTAAACTCCAGCGGAAAGTTCTGGCTGTTTGTCTACCTCTGGACTTTAGTCTTGTTCTTCTTCTTTTTTTTTTTTTTTTTTGCGTTCGGTTTTGTATGCTCAGATCAGATCATCAGGTGGGTTGCCTCTATGAACTCGCATGTCAGTAGCAGCTCCTTCATGGTTTCCCATAGCTTGCTCTGCACACTTTGCTCTTGAGGTCAGGTGTCTTTTCAAAGTTGTATGTAGAGTGGGCAGGTCTGCAGAATCTGCTCAGATGTTTGTGGTCCTGTTTGACAGGCACACTGTGAGGACTGTACAATCTTTATCTTATTCATGTGGTAGTTGAGCCTGCAGTGTCCTGTTCGTAGACTGAAAATTGTTGTATGTTGCTTTCTGTTGAGTTTGTTGATGGGGGTCTTGTGGATGTTTACTGTAAGTTTGTTCTCTCTGTTCCAGAACCTGAGTGTTGCGTCAACTCTTACGACATGCTTTTTGGGGAGGTAGTAGGTCTATTCTTGCTTTCTCAACAGTGGAGCCCAGGAACCCACACAGGGAACTACTGACTGTAAAATTACCTGGTAAAACCCCAAAACCCCTGCGGATCGTAAGGTCGTGGGTTTGCGTCCTGGCGGAGCCGGACTTTTTTTCAGAAATGACATAGACTCCTAAGTAGACCCAGCCTTGAGTGAGTACCAGATGCAGTCCTGGGAAGTAACAGTCGGCGTGATGCTATTAACATCACCTACCAAGTGCTGACTGGTCTATAAAAATATAGGTTTGCCCTGAAGTTTGAACAACAGATCAACATCACGGTAGACGGGTAGTAACCCATAAGTGCTCCATTCTTCTTCTAACTCAAGTCTGAGTCCGAAAAAGCTCAGCACAGTGCACAGGCTCTGTAGTACCGGCGAGGATCCTGAAATACTTTTTTGTGTAAATTTTGATCTCCAAATTTTGACCGGGCAGCGCGTTTAGGTTACTCTTTTCGATTTTCAACGTCAAAGGGATTTTTTTTTAAACGTGCGCAGCATTGCACACGGGCGTCTGATCTCACTACCCAGAGACCAGAGGGAATTACTAGAAGTCCTAGTCCATGTTAAAAAATCATAGCCCTTACCATGGATTGAACCCGGAACCACCAGCACTCAAGGCAGACACCATGCCTCAAGACCACGCAGCCACCAGCTCTAGCCATATATTCTAAATACGCCTAAAGAGAAAGGGACATTCAAAACAGCCAACAAATGCTGGGGTTGGTTCTGCAACATCTTTAAAGGATATACAGCTAACCGTCTTTTAAGACTTTCACTACCCGTCTACTCACTATAAATATATTGATCATTCTGTAGATAGAACAAATTTACTAACTGCTTCTGTCCAACTCTTCTGTCATATTTATATTATCTGACTTTTTTGAATTTGTTAGTTTATCGCCTACGTTGGCGTCCAAATATGAAACGCAATTTTTCGTTATTTTAAAGCCCACCATGGCTGTTGTTCGGGGGGGGGGGAGGGAGGGGGGGCGCCTAATATAACCTAACAATTGAACAGGGTTTCTGGGTGATTCTCTTCGAATGATGGCACTTCGTGTCACTGTGTGTTGGTCACTCTTATGCGGTCAGGGTTTGGCTGAACTTCATTCATTGGTAATTTATCTTGTTCTGTCCCATAACTGTATAATTTACACCAAGTAAGACCCCCGATGGCTACACTACATATATATAATAATATGAAGTGTCGAAGAAGAATCAACTGTTTGTGGCAGAAAGAGTTAAATACTAGGATTGGCACTCATCATCATGTGACTTGCCAGCTGGCGTAGGCGTTCGTGCATCTCCACAGATCTCGGTCTTTGGTGTTCTGGATCAGTTCTACAGATGATATTCCTCCATGCCACTGTCTTAAGCCATCCGCCATCATTTCTCTTGGCCTGCCTCTGCCTCTTCTACCAGTGATCTTTCTAGTCGTCACGATATTTTTAAGTGCTCCTCTTTACATTACATGACCAAAGGATTGGCACTACGCTTAACAAAACCAAATGATTATGATAACAGTACATACCACAGGCATATATTTATTTGAGGGAGCTCTGAACCTTTTCATCTTTTTGTTGCTCACGGGGTAGGAATACACAAAACAAGGATTGTAGTTGTAATTTGACTGCATAAATCTGGTCTTTTCTGCTCGATAATTTTCTGGTTTAATTGAAGCCAAAAATGAAGGCTTGAAATTTTCATTCAATTTTGAGGATGTACTTGAAGATGGCATTGCGTCCCTGAATGGCATATTAGTTTCAAGCAAACGTACAGATGAAAGCATCCCTGGCGTCATTTGCTGTTTTCTCAGTAAACAATCTGAGAAACAAAAAATGGAAGAGTGTGAGGATTTTATTTCAAAGCCACGGGACAAACTGTGTTGTCTTCGAACTGCTGGGAACTTTTTCCGATATAGATTGCCATTAAAAGAAGTTATAACCTGGCTCTCAGCCTTACTACGTTTCTGCTTTTGAGTAACATTCATGGCTGACTGCAAATGCTCATCAGAACTTATGCTATGTTTATCGTTATCTGATATAATGTGTCGAACACATTTAAATAAAACTGCAAATGAGCACAACAGCAAGAAGACAGCATTTTCGTGCTCAAAAACATGACCTCACAATTCAGTCAACTGAATGGGAAATGCTGATGACATATCTACCATGCGAGAAGAACATCACTTGAACAAGTAGTGCATGAGGCTTCCAGTAATGCCACTGATACAGTTATGTAAGTGCAGAGCAAAAACATTTTTAAATGTTGCTGGGTACAACCAGCCACTGAGCTGAGTTATTCTGACTTGAATTGTATACGGTCTGTGCAGAAAATGTGAGCTCTGTTGACGAAAAAAGCAAAAGATAATAATTATTAACAAGACAAGTCATCAGAAATCTACACTCAAATGAAATGCTCTACCCTAACTCATTGTATCCAAATGTTTCCAACGAATCTACATCAACACCTGTATCACTCATATCCCACTTGCTCACATCTTTATACTTTAGTAGAGGCTGACTTCGACATTTACCCATCTGCGATTCATCATAGCTCCTTGAATGTGAAAGTACATGAGGTTGGAGAGATAGCAAGAGACCAAGTTTCTTTCGGGCAGACCATTATGAGAAGCAATCATGTGTCTTTTAATGTGGCTATAATATTTCACTTGTCTCCTTATTATTTCTTTCTTCTTCTTCTTCAGACGAAGCAGATGCACTAATCTATACAGACGGATCTGTTATATGCCAAAGAAGAAGCGCATGGGCATTTACAGCACGCTCAGCGGGCAGAACAGTCAAAGAAGCCAACGGCGCCTTCTCCATGACAACCAGCAGCATGACGATGGAGGTGTTGGCAGTGACGCAAGCGTTTGCCTGGCTTGAAACACAAAAATACACCCGCATGTGTATACTCAGTGATTCAATGAGTATGATCCGGAGGGTTCAGGCAGGTTCAGTGCGAAGACAATGGCTTGAATCAATTCAGAAGTCCACTGTGCGTGGAGTCACCTTTATTTTTGTTCCGAGACACGCAGGCGTCGATGGAAATGAAAGAGCTGACAGGTTGGCTGAATCCGCTATCACTACCGACGGTCGGCCTATGGATAATGCTGATATTATCAATGCCCTCAGAGAAATGGGAAGGATAGAGGACTTTGGTGGCAGTGAATCCACATCACTCGCCAGAATGGCAGACTTGGGAATTAAGATCGGCACAGCAAAAAACGAGACGCACACCAGACACGTCAGAAGACTTGTTAATCAACATAGAACTGGTACTATTAGCCATCGGACGTTGGGGTTCATACTGAGGGGAGGATCTGAGCACCTATGGACATGTCCGGAGTGCAATGATGATAACCCTACTAACTAACTAACTAACTAACTAACAATCTTCTTCTTCTTCTGCGTTCATCCGAAGATGCAATTGCGTTGTGTCCGTTTACAGCATGGCTGCGATATTTGCACCTTTCGGCCAACACATCCGACTTCTGCGGGCATTTGTTGACCAGGTTAGCCTTCCCAGTTTTTATTTCTTTCAATAATTATCTTTCCATTCTCAGTCTTTTCAGAACTTTTGTATTTGTTTTTGTTTCCATGAAATACGACCCTACTTTTTTGTAAATCCATACTTCCAGAGTCTCAGTTCTATTTTCTAGTCACCTTTCCCTTGTAGTGTACCTGTTTGAGAAGCGAGAAGCTAACAGTCTGCACAAAAATAAGCCAGATCTGTAAAACGGATGTACATGCAAAACCCAAGCCCTGGAACAAGACTAGAATCTAGAAGTGGACTAATGGCGAGAACTTTCCGCTGAAGTTGACAGCCCGATGAACATCAAGAAAAAGAAGAAGAAACCATGAGGAAATTGTTATTTTTGGCACTTTTCCGCCTGTCCAGATGATGGCAATACATTTTGCTTCGCAGCGATTCTCAACCTGTGGGTCACGACAGCTTTTGGGGTCGAATGACCCTTTCACAGGGGTTGCCTAAGACCATCAGAAAACACATGTTTACTGAAATTGTAAAGTAGCAACGAAAATAATTTTATGGTTGGGGGGTCACCACAACAGGAGGAACTGTATTTTAAAGGGTAACATCATCAGGAAGGTTGCGAACCACCGTGCTACAGGAAAGCATAGGAATTACAACCCATGGCAATGGCAAAGTTCAAGGATAAAGTTCTCCCTCTCGATAGCAAAACCCTGGACAGTAATGTAGAAACGATGTGTTGCCCATACAGCCCGATCCATCTCTTGCCCTGCATTGTTTTGTCGTTTTTTTTACTCCAAGAGAGAGGTAACCTCAATATGATTGGAAACAAAGCAAGCTGCAGAAGCTGCGGGATCAAAAGGGCATGAGTGAGCGAATCAAGAATTGGCGTCACTGCCCTCAGCACATTCCCACACGTGCTTTGTCCCATTTTTCATTGGCCAACAGAGTCAACAGGTGAACAGTACCAGTTGCAGTACTGTTTTCCTCCTGTCAGCATTGAATATATTCCAGAACCTCTTACCAAGACCTGACATGATGTTGGGATCCTTTCAGTTGCTTGAAACTCACCACATGCCCCCCCCCCCCCCCCCCCCCCCCACTCCTGTACATAGTATGCATTTCTCAACTTATTATACCCTATTCTCCTGCCACTTTAACCCATTCTATTCTTGTTATTACTTTAACCTACTGAGTCTCATGGTTGTATTACTTCATCTTTTTGGGACTCAAAGACTGTTACTCCAAGGTGCACACATGTTGTGAAAGAATAGTGTTTATCAACAACTGCTTAGGCCTGAAAGAGTTAAACAATCTCTCGTCAAATCCGTAAAGCAAAGACAGTTGAAATTCTGAGAAAATATCAACAGAAAAGGTAAGTAAGTCTTCTTCTATTTGTCTATTTGATCTCCCTGCCAGTGCCTTTTCGACGAGAATGCCACAGGCCCTCTATGAAATCCATGGTGCATGTCTTCGACTGTTTCATACAGCTTGATTTCCAATGGCATGCCTCCCAGTCAAACCTGGGATCTCTCTAATGTATGTAGACAGTATGTCTATAGCACATTATCAGTATGTCTTTAGCACATTATCAGTATGTCTATAGCACATTATCAGTATGTCTTTAGCACATTATCAGTATGTATATAGCACATTATCAGTATGTATATAGCACATTATCAGTATGTATATAGCACATTATCAGTATGTATATAGCACATTATCAGTATGTCTATAGCACATTATCAGTATGTATATAGCACATTATCAGTATGTATATAGCACATTATCAGTATGTCTATAGCACATTATCAGTATGTCTATAGCACATTATCAGTATGTCTATAGCACATTATCAGTATTACACATGGGAAAATTTCTGAATTCAACTGCTTTTTGTATGTTATCTGTCATTCTCTCTATGTGCCCTAACCATTAGCCCTCATAATACCAGTATTTAGTGGTGATTTAAACAGATGATAAAAATTGTTGCTTCTCACTTTCACTACTTACCCCAGGAAATTATTTTGATACTAGCATAATATTCCAAGTTTCTGCATTCGATTTTGAATCAACAACATGGATTAACCTCCAGATTTTGAACGTTCAGCGTGTACTAATGTGGTTTGTCTTGGCAGTGGAACTGACTAAATGTTTGGGTTTAGCTTGATATTCAGATTTCAGAGAGAATACATTATACTTAAAAAAACAATTTATTTGTGTGGAAGTTGAAATTCACATTTAGTTTAGCAAAAATAAACCACTGGCTGTCTGTATTTGCCACTCTTTCGACTAAGTAGTAGGGAGGGGATCTTTGAGCCTGTGGTTCTTGGACTGCACAGATAGTGCAATTGTCATGAACTGTGCAGGTTATAATATTTTTTTTTTCCCTGACATAAGGGGGTAAAAACATCCATTATGTGACGGAGGATTCAACTTATGTCTTTCGCTGCAGAGATCTGAATTCTAGCCACATAGCCAGCTCTTTCTGCTGGCTGGTTACTGGCGCTATATACCCAATAAGTTTATGGGCGCAGAAAAGGGTCTTTTGCTATAGAAAGAAAGGATAAGAAAGGATCCTGTTTTTTTTAAGGTATTTTACAAAACTTTTAGAACTAGGCACTGTATCCACTTACATTGGAATATGTTTCTGGTAAGTTCTAGTAGTAGTAGGACTTAATTTTAATGTTATCAATAACTAGGGTGACAATATATCCTGTTTTCACTGGGATAGTCCAGTTTTTCCGGTGTGTCCCAGCCATCCTGCTAATGCTTCGTTAAAAAAAAAAATTAAGATTAAGCTGGAGAATACAACATTCATTTATAGTTATATCTGTAGATCTTATTAATTTAATATTTCTAGATACTTTTAATGCCTCAAAAATAATGAAAAGTATTTGGAAAGATGCATGGCCCATGTGAAATGATAATATTGGATTGGTATAAATGTAACTTAAGATTTAGAGGTGTCAGATATATTGTGGTGGCATAGGTGACATGACAATGAAATTATGATAAAGATCAGCGAAAATAGGGATTCAATCCATCTCAAGATTTAGAGATAATAGATAGACATCATATAGGAAAAACGAAAATGAAGCGATAAAGATCAATTAGTACTGGCGTGTAATCTAATCTGAAAGGAAAATATATAGATCTATAGACTACAATAGTGGAATAAATAAAAGCAATACATGCACTCCTACTAAAGAAAAAGGTTTTAATAATTCGGCACTCTTCCGAATAACGGTCCCAAATTATTCAAAGACAAAAAATCCCATTCAGGGCCTCAACAGGTCTTAGTTAAAAGACTTGAGAGGTCATGTAGTTAAAAATATGAAATAGGAATCCCATTCAGGGCCTCAAGAGGTCGTAGTTAGGAACTTGAGAGGTCCAATAATTCTTCTCCTTTGCATTCACTGGTTGTGAGCTCCTACAGAAAGTTCTGGTTGTTCGTTCACCGATGGACTTTATTCTTGTTCCAGACCCTGATTG